AATCAAGATATTCACAATATAAAGACTCACGGTCATACTAGACACCAACGTATAGATACTCGTCACTATGCCTATACGTCATACACAACGAATATCACATAGCAAATAGGACTCAACTCCTAATCTCTCAAGCTAAGGTTAGACCAAACACTTACCTCAAACTTCCACGGCCAACTCAAGTCTCAAATACCGCCTTTCCATTCAAATTTGGCTCCAACACAATCAAATCTATACATAATCGACTTAATAACATCAACAAATGCTAAAAAATCCAATTCCAATGCTTAATTATAGCTTTCTAATTATTCTTCCCAAAAATCCAAAAATCGACCCCGGCCCCGCTTGGTCAAAACACGAGGTTCGGACCAAAATCAAATCATCCATTCACCCACGAGCCCAAATATATAATTATTTACAAAATTCGACCCCAAAATGAGGTCTAAATCACAATTAATCAAAAAGCCCTAACTCTACCCAAATCCCTAATTTTCTACCCTTAATCTCATGTTTTAGGCCTAGAAATCTAATGGGTGTTAATGGAAATTGAAGAAAATGAGTCTAAGATTACATAACTATGAATTTGTGGTGAAATCCTCTTTCAAAATTGCCCAATTTGGAGTTTGGAAGAAAAAGTTATGAAAATTATGAAGACTCCCGTTTTGCTTCTGTTTTAAAATCACTGGACAGGCTTTCATCGCGTTCGCGATAGGCCTGTCGCGTTTGCGATGAGTTCAGCTTTGGTGACCTTCGCGTTCGCGACATCAGGCTCGCGTTCGCGGAGCTTTGGATCCTCGAGCCTTCGCGTTCGCGGGCCAGTGGCCGCGTTCGCGATGCACAACTGGTGACCCCTCCCCTAAACCTTACGCGTTCGCGAGTGGAAGGGACGTGTTCGCGAAGGGTCTTCCCCCCTCAGCTTCGCGTTTGCGTCTCAACCTTCGCGTTCGTGAAGAAGAAAATGGGCTCCTAGGATTTTTTCCTTACGCGTTGGCGAGTGGGTCCATGCGAACGTGAAGGGTAAAATCCCTGGCCACTAACAGCAGAAATCTGCAACTTTTCTCAAGTTCAAAACTTCCCGAAACACATCCGAAACACTCCCGAGCCCTCGGGGCTCCTAACCAAACACACGTACTAACTCAACAATATCATACGAACTTATCCGTGCGATCAAATTGCCAAAATAACCTCAATAACAATGAATCAGACCTCAAAATCAAGAACTTTTTCTCAAACTTCATCAAGTATCAAATTTAGCAATTTAGGTCCGAATCACGTCAAACGACGTCCGTTTTTCACCAAATTTTACAGAAACATCTTAAATTATATATAAGACATGTACCGGGTGCCGGAACCAAAATACGGGCCCGATACCAACACGTTCTAATCAAATTTCATTTTAAATTTCCTTAAACAATTTCAGAAAACAATTTCCTTTAAAAAACTCATTTCTCGGGCTCGGGACCTCGGAATTCGATTCCGGGCATACGCCCAAGTCCCATATTTTCCTACGGACGCTCCGGGACCGTCAAATCACGGTTCTGGGTCCGTTTACCCAAAACGTTGACCGAAGTCAAATTTGCTCATTTTATAACCAAATTTATAATTTTTCATAGATTTTCATATTTAAGCTTTCCGGCTACGCGCCCGGACTGCGCACGTAATTTGAGGTGACTCTAAATGAGGTTTTCAAGGCCTCAAAAACATAGAATTTAATTTAAAACAAGTGATGACCGCTTGGGTCATCACATTCTGCCTTACCTTGAAAAGGTCCGACTTCCTCATTGCAACTTTAATGGCTCCGGTGTGTTCCTTTACAAAAGAATATGCAAGCATATCAAACGAATCAATGGAACTAGGGGGTAAGTTATGATACCATATTAAGGCACCCTTCGATAGAGTCTCCCCGAACTTCTTCAGCAGCACGGATTCAATCTCATCATCTTCCAAGTCATTTCCTTTGATGGCGCACGTATACGAGGTGATGTGTTCATTCGGATCGGTCGTCCCGTTATACTTGGGAATCTCGGGCATACAAAACTTCTTGGGGATTGGATTCGGAGCCGCACTAGGGTGGAGGGTCTTTGCACAAACTTTTTAGAATCTAGACCCTTTAGAATTGGTGGTGCCCCTAGTATTTGGTCAACCCGGGAGTTGTATGTTTCTACCTTTTTATCATTTGCCTCGATTTTCTTCTCTCCTGATTCAATCCGTTTAGTGAGCTCCTCGAGCACTTTCATAATATCAGGGTCAGCCCATGAATCATTGGCGTTTGATCTCTCTGGTAAAGGTTCGGCCCTGCGAACTGTTTCTGGTTCAGGCTCTGGTTCGATCCCACTTGGTGCTCGAGGCTGATTCTGTAGTTGCGCTATAGCGGCTTGCTGAGCCTATAGCATTTAAAATATCAATTGGAGGCTAACTCCACCATCTTCTCCGCCCTGCGTACCTCGACCACCTGATCGAACTTCCTTGCGTACGCTACCTTCAGTATCAATGCCCAGACTTGAATTTAGGGTGACATACGAACTGACATCGATGGGGTCTGCGATTGGTACTCCCTCGTGGCCAGCCTGAGGCACTTCGATCCCTGGGGTGGCTACATTATCGTTCTCTCCATGGAAATCGAGGCCGTTATTGGCGTGAGTGGGTACTGCTTGCGAGTTAGACATATTGATCCTGAAATCAAAAGCACTCACAAGAAAAAGCGTAAAGTAGTGTGTGTTACGAGAATTAATACCAGGCAATCACTATTATCCTTAGCTCCACGGTGGGCGCCAAACTGTTTACCCTCAAAATTGGATAACAATTAAACTTATAATGGGGTTTTAAGGACACGTGATTTCACCCAATACCAATTGATGAATGTAAAGATTGGTGAAGGAAATTGACAATAAGATAAAGCAAACCAATGTTTGAATGGAGTTCAGCCCTCGAGCTTGAGTACCCTCGAACTGATTGGTGCAAGAACAGTTAAAAATATAACAAGCTGATGAACAAGAACGTGAGCTAAAATGTTATATCGCTTTGATACATAAGAACCATGTCTCTTACAAATGATTAGAATCCTCTTTATATAGTAGAGGAATCCTATCTATGGTACAATTCCAATTATGGAATTAAATCCCATGATTAACTAAACAACCGCCCTTATTTGATTTGTTCCGTGATTTTCGCCATGACCTTCGACCAGTTACGGATATCTCGCCTTTCCGTTCGGTCTTGCTCGATGTCGTTCCTGCTCAACCTCGATCATTTTCGGTTTCGATCTTTCTAGGTACCTCGAATCCGAACTCGATGTCTTATCTTCGTGCCTCGATCTGATCTACTACAGGATCGATCTTCGATCCTTCACACTGGTCTCGATAAATCAATAAAAATAGGTGAGCCCGATTTTAACCATATATATATATATATATATATATATGTATATATGTATGTATAATGTGAGCTAAAGTGTTATATTGCTTTGATACGTGAGAACCATGTCTCTTACAAATGATTAGAACCCTCTTTATATAGTAGAGGACTCCTATCTATGGTACAATTCCAATTATGGAAGTAAATCCCATGATTAACTAAACAACCGCCCTTAATTTGATCTGTTCCGAGATTTTCGCCACGACCTTCGACCAGTTACGGATATCTCGCCTTTCCGTTCGGTCTTGCTCGATGTCGTTCCTGCTCAACCTCGATCATTATCGGTGTCGATCTTTCTAGGTACCTCAAATCCGAACTCGATGTCTTATCCTCGTGGTCTATTACAGGATCAATCTTCGATCCTTCACACCGATCTCGATAAATCAGTCCCGATTTTAATCGTATATATATATATATATATATAAAATTATAAAAGTACGAATGTTTAGAAGCTAAATGTTGAGTGACAAAAATATTCTCAAAATATCAACGGACTTTTTTGCCCTTAAAGTTAAATTTTTCTTTCATGAAACAATTTAATATTGGATATAACTGTCATATTGAGTAGAAACTCAGTCCTTTGAATAAGAAGAATTCTATGCTATATCGGATACAAAGATAGAGTAACCTATGTTGAATAGATTACAAAGCATCGAACTAAGCTCCAAGCGGTTTGGAATTTCAAACACCGTTCAACTTCAAATTATTTCTTTATAGATATTATTTGGTATTAGATAGAATTGTAATATTAAGGAGTTCTTCCAATGGTTATGACTTTGTCAATTAAAGTTGTGATAATTAAAAATTATGATATGTGATAAAGTCTTAAAAACTGCATAGAAGTAGGACTTTAATAATTACTAATAAAAACCTAACAGAAAATTAGTGAAAAGACATGTCATTCCGACTAATGCCGACTTTAAAGACATACGTCATTCTTTAAAGTTGGACCACTTATATTTTCAGATCAAATTATAATTTATGTATGAGAATTGGACCATTATGTTCTAGATCACAATGTAATTTCTTTATGTTGGAGTCGATTCCTTTAAGTTATAACACACTTAAATTTTAATTTTTTCTTGAAGAAGTTATTTCATTCTGGATAGAATTATAATACTTAGGACTGCCTAATGTTGTGGTTCCGCTCTGCTATAATATAGTTAATTATCCGCATGTAATATTTCTATCCACTTTTTGTTATGACCTATTTAATTATTTGCAAGTGATATTTCATATTGTTAAAGCAAGAAGGAGAACTTACAATATGATTAAAATTTTCTAACTTACATATTTAAGTCCTTTTTGAAAAACAATCAAACACAAACCACTACAAGAAATTTGATTTTTAACGATCATTCTTAACGAAGGGACATAAAACCGGTCGTTATAAGTGTATTTATAATAACCAAATTTTTTTCCGGTCGTTAAAACTAATTTACCTTAATATTAACGAGGGGATAATATTGGGCCGTTAAAATATAACACATCCGTTCGTTAATAATTATTAATTAACTAAAAAGTAGCGCTAAATTTTCCCACTTTTTTTTCCCAATCCGCCAAATCTCCCGTCCCACCCCCACCCCCCACCCAAAAACAAAAAAAAAGAAAAAGCCCTAAAGTTCGACTTAAACTTCTCTAACAATTGGTAAATGCTATTTTGAACGAATTAGCAGAGAATTGTGCTACGACAAATTCAGCGAATTAGCGGCTCGTCACCTTCATCGACAACAGCGGCTCATATTTGAGGTTCTTCTCATCTTGGAGGTTAATTGCTTATTTCAATCTGATATATTATTGATTTTCAATCTTGGCCTCTCATCCGTTTTACATACGATGTCCTGCTTGAATGGAAATTTTTTGTGAAACTTGATTCTTGTTTTAAACTATACAAATTTGATCAGAGGTATGGGGTATGAGAATTGGCTAAAGTTATTTGGTAGTATGTCTCTGTTTTCAATCTCAATTGTAGTGCAAAAGATCAGTATGAAAGAATGAGCAAGGGTATGTTAGATATGTTGCACTTAGTGGAGAGGTGGCTTGTCCAGTTTTTGAACTGTATCACAAAGTACATGCTGCACATTCTTTCCCTCCTCATTCATCACATGATCATGCTCATTGAGCAATGCTTCAAACGAGTTAGAAAACTCTATATTCTTTGATGTTATGACCTGGTCTTTCAGACCTGGAGATCTCCTATTTTTAGGTGATCGATGCATCACTGCTTGCTGCTGATTAGCAGGTGTTCGAGCAACAACTGTCCAGTCCTCTCCAGCTATATTCTTTACTGTTCCATCTCCCATACCTATCTTCTTTGGCCCATCTTAGAATTAGAGCTATTCCTCAAGTCAACTGTTGCAATTTGCTGCTGCCTGAATGGTACAAAAGCGTGTGCATTTGGGCTTAAACCTTTCTTGCATTAACTCCTTCACGTTCCTGCCCCTCATCTTGTGTAACAGTAGCTAAAAAACCTACTGGTTTTTCAACTACATCAACAATTGCAGCACTAGATTTAGGAGCCCAGACAGTAGGTCGATCACCAGTTGCATTCAATGCAACATTAGCCTCCAACTTCGAACCTATAGTATAGCTGCTTCAATTCCACTTTTTCGACTGCCACTGCTACATGATTCTTAGTATTGTTTCCTCGATCACGCCCTGTAACAGCTACACTACCTCAAAGCATCTATATCTTCAAGACCTTGCCCTTCATCGTGCACAGCAGTAGGTTTAATAACTGCTGGTTTTTCAACCATCTCAAGTGCAGCAGTATTAGCTTGATCACCCATCTTATGCAAACTTGTATGGTTTTTTAAAGCTGATCCCACAGCCTCGTAAATCCTTGCTAACGCAGTAGCAGCAGGGATATCCGGGAACTAGAGCTCCTTTCATTCCTGGGATTGTCAAGAGCTTTTAAGTTATCCATGTCATGAGTTAAAAGAGCTTGGAGGATGTTTGTAGGAGTCAAATTATATAGTGCAACCACTCCACTTGTAATAGCTACCTGTCCAGTAGATTTCTGGATCAAATTAAGCTTAGAAACCGTACCTGATAGTTGCTGTCCAGTCGGAACAAAAGCAGCAACATTAGGACTTAGCTTTGTCTTGCTTTGCACACTAGGAGATGGACTCGCAACCTGCTCAACCACAGCTACTGCCCCTTCCTTTGCTTTACCCCCTTGTCGTGTTGACGAACCATTTTCTTGAGTGTTTAGCTCCTGGGAATCACCAACATAATTTCTTCACCTTATCATACTCTTCTACTTTGTCAGCCCATGTCTTACGGTTAGAGCTAACTGCCTCCTGTAGCTCGTTTAAATTCTGGACAGGTTCATCATTCAACTCATCTTCACTTATCATGTCATCATGTTCTTCTCTTGTTTGGTCAGCCCCTCCTTTTGGTTGTTTTCTTAGCCGATCCTCCACCACCAGAATTTGTACTACAAAAATGCTTGTCACCAGCAGATCGATTTTGAGAAAGAATTCCAGCTGATGCATTCTTTTTGTGTGTTACTGAACTCCAGCCTTCCTCTCTGTTCACATCCAGTCCTTCCTTGCTACTAGAGTTTGTAACCTGTTCCAATAGTTCATTAGGTTTAGTAGATTGTGCAGCAGATTGTGCTGGAACTGCACCAATTCTGCCTGAATTCACAAACAACTGCCCAGCTTTTTTCTCCTTTCTTACTTGTACTCTATCTTTTGCTTGATCATCTGTAATTTGTTGCGACTGCCCAGCTGTTTCCTTTGCCTTAACACCTGCATCAGTTGCACTATCCAAAACTTTCACACCTCCAACACCTTGCCCCTGAATATGCACAGCAGTAGGTTTCAAACCTGCTGGTTTTTTAACTTCAAGTGCAGCAGTGGTTTAATAACTGATGGTTTTTCAACCATTTCAAGTGCAGCAGCATTAGCTTGATCTCCCCCCTATTCAAATTTGTGTGATTTTGTAAATCTGATCCTATAACCTTGTAGATCGTCGCCAAAGCTGTAGCAGCAGGGATGTCTCTGGGAAGTTTGGATTTGACAAGAATTTTCTGTTGATCATCACTCATCTACACAGTGTTTTTAGCAGCAACCTTACCACTGTTGCCTCTTTGATCCACCAGTGAAACTCCTCGATCATGTATCCTTTCCTGAGACACATCTGGACTTTTCGAAACAGTACCTTTAGGCGTAGGATCACTTGTAGCAATTGTAGCAGCAGCTGTTTGTAAAACCTGTTGAAGATGCCCAGGTGAAACACTATTAACCTTGGTAGCTTTAATAGCCTGCACATCAGCTGGTACATCCTCTGAATCCTGCACAAGGCTGCTTCAACTGGGACTGCATCAATCCCATTAACGACAACTGAATATTAGCTAAACTTTTACCAGCTTCATGCACAGTAGCAGCTTGTTGATTTTCACTAGCTTGCAACTGCAATAACTTCTGATGCCCATCTACTGAACTGCTGGTTCAAATTCGTCAGTTGTATGATCTAGACCTCAAGAGATTTAACATATCATATGTCTGATCATTGCGAGGAACTTTAATGGCAGCTCTTGTGATCATAATTGATGAGAAAAATCTTCAAAATGAAACTGTAGATAATATACAGAAATAGAAGGTGATTCGCATCTCTATATTCTAAGTATCAGCTTCAGAATCAAAGGATAAAGAGATGCAGAGGGGACAGAGGAGATGACCAATTTTCAGCTCCTAATAAGCACAGTTCTTCACTCATAAGATAATAAAGTAAGTGGTATTCTATTATTATACCAGATCTTGTCTCAAAGTTGAAGCACTTACCAATTTATACATTCTCTCTCTTTTCTTCTTCTGGTGCAAGGGAATTTAGACCCCACGGTGTGGGAATTGTTGTTGTTGGTGCAAAGGAATTTACCTGAACAGTTGTATAGATTTGTGGATTTCTAAAATGAAATCCATATTGTATAGTTCTTTTTCCCAGGATGGCACTTGTATAATGATTTGACAACAGTGAATTATATAACATTTGCTAGCACCTATCAAAAATGAAAAGAAGCATATTAGAATTCTCAGTATAACTGAAGGATTCTTATGAAGGATTCTAGTTCATTTGTAGCTTATCGTACGGGTAGTAAACCAATTAGGGAGATCATTTATGAAATGGTGAGTAAATCTTATAATTCTATTAAGAAACCTCATCTTTGTTACAAAGATTTCTTTGACTTGTTTATTGTAATGTGAAGGGAGGTAAAGATTGTAAACCACCAGATGTGGCAACTATTTTTTTTTAGACTCGTAAGAAGAACAACAAGCTTGTCGAACCTGAAACCAGTGAGAAGTATGTATGTTTATTGATAAATTTTAATTTTATATTATTTATTTATTGTGTTGTATTATTTTAATTAAATAATTTTTTATTTTACAGGATAAAATCAAAGAATTGGTGCAATCTGAATCATCTCTTACAAATATTGAGGTTGTAGAAAGGTGCTTCAGACCTCAACAAAAGAGTCATGTAGTTGGATTTGGTGGTGGGATAACCGCTAAGGAGTTGAAAGGTGGTAACTCCTCTAAAGCTGCATTGTTGGAAAAGCTGAATGCTACTGTAAAAGAAAATGAATCGCTAAAAGGACGTTTGGAAGGGATAGAGAGTAAATATGATGAGCTAGGGAGTAAATACTCACATCTTGCAAAGATAGTGTTTGATCAGCCTTCATCACCATCTTCAAGTGATCAATGGATTGAATCATATAACGGGTTAGTACATTGAAAATCCTATTTTACTCTAACATGCCGTGTGAGTTGTCGTTTTCCATCTCATCTTATTCATCCTCTTCTACTTGATAGGCCCAAATCTTATGATTGCACCAGAATTCACTTGTAACAGTTAATTGCTCCTTAGAAACCGGCACCTTATTTGTAGAATTTGCTTGAGATATTGAGGCCATACCCAACCAATGAAAAGTTAAAAACTGTTATTTTGGAATTACTTAATGGCATTATGGCAAAGTAAGGAAACACAATATTTTTAGGAAATAAACCTCTGGTGGCCATGCATCAGATTCTTTCAAGCTGACATTTGTTTCAAGTTGTTTGAACTTGAGGTAAATGCAAGCGCTAGATGCATCAATACGATGGTCAGACATCAAACTAATCCAAAACAAATTAATGTATCTGAACTAACTTGACAAATAAAGATATATGGTAATGCATCAACTCCTGGTACTTTTAAACTTGAATTTTTTGACATTAGAAACCGGAAAAAAACATCAAACCAAGATAAAGTCCTTTATTGTTGGTTATTCCCTGTAGATATTAGTTGCTGCCCCGAATCACCTTCTTGTTCCCCAAACGACTCCATTAATTGTGAAGGAATCTTTTGTGCCGATGTGCAAGTTGTCCAAGCTCCACAACTACAGGACGGAGACAACTTTACTGTTGCTCCAAGGCTCCCGTTCAATCTAGTATATTTCTCCTTGGCAGTAATGATCTCACTGCTGCTGGTCTGCAAGTTCTGAATGTAGTAGTTTCATAGCAGTTCGATTCAGCGTCAATAGGAATTTTTCAATACGTTATACATGGATGTGATAATAACCTAATTCATGTACAAGTCTCATCATCTGCAATTTGAGTTCAGGAATAAGCTGATTTCAGATAAACCAAGTAAAATTTGCTTCTTGAGCTTCTGTTCTCTGATTATTATGTAGACAACAGAATGAAGATGTTGATGTTATGCATTATCATGAAGTGAAAGCTCACAAATTTGTAATCTTATTTCTGTCTGAGCCGAATCTTTTACATGTTAATTGCCTTCTAGATTAAACTATCGAGCCTTCGGCCAGCTAATTAGGCTTGCTAATGCATGTGACGACTTTTATTTCTAACATATCAACAAAATGAGACCTTTCTCGAGGCCCTATTCAGAAAGGGGTTTAACCTTTCTATCCTTTCTAATCTGGTTTCCATGGAACTGGTCTTTCTTGTCTGATTAATACCCTCTAATTATGTCCGCTCCTTTCAACTCCATTATGCCTTAAAATAAATTTAGACTTTATTTCTGGATGTTGGAAGCACTAAGTTGCTGTCACTCGGTTGAGGAACTTAATGAAGAGCTTGTGCTAGTTGAGTTGGCTCGAATAGAGGCCATTAAGGAATTCAGAGCAATTGAAGCTCAAAGAAGGGAAGACGGCGAGAAACATTCAGCAGCAATGGAGGAGAACAGGAAGAAAATGAATGACATGGTCCAAGAAATCCAGAGATCAGAAGAGCTACGAGAAAAGCTGGCCTTGACAACTTCAGATGTCCAAGTTTTGGAAAGTGAATTGAAGCAAGTTAAGGAAATGGACAGATGGATTCATAAAAGCGAGAGCTTGATGATCCAATCTGATTTCCTGGAAAAAGACTTATCTTTGTTGCAGTCATTGAAAGAAGACTTGGAGACAGCAAAGCAAGAATTAGCTTCCATTAAAAGAGGCAGCTTTGAGTTTATGGCTTCAATGGACATCGTGAGGAATGAGCTCAGACGCATCTCTGAGGAATCAGCTCGGTTAAAGAAAAAAGGAAACAAAGCAGACTTGACGATTCAGAACCTGAACACAAAGCTTCTGAGGGCAAAGGCTAAACTGGAAGCTGCATCAGACAATGAAGGAAAAGCAAGCTCTATTGCTTCAAGTTTATCCCTCACTCTTGAACAGTTGAGAAATGAAGCTGAGAAAGAAAGGGTGACAGCAACTGAGGAAGCTGCAACATCCAGAAATAAAGGCAGCAGTCCTCACTAGGCTAAGAGTGATTCATTCGGTTAGACAGCAGTCCTAGTGGCTCCATTTACTGCCCATTCTTCATATTTTGAATTATGCACTGCTTGAACATCTAATTCTTGCATCTCAGCTACATCAACCCCTTCCAGTTCTTGTCCCTTATGCACAGGCTGGGACATTGCTGCTACTGTGTCCGCTGCCCCCGTATCAATCAAATTCACATTAGCAGCTTCTAATCCATCAGTTCGTGCACTAGTACTATCACGAGCAGCAGATGCTTTAACTAGTGTACCTACTTCAATAGCTTCTCCTTCCTTAGTAGTCTGATCCATCCTCTTAATAACTGCTAGTTTTTCCACTGATGCAACGGGTGCAACATTCATTTCCATTAAATTCATGATCTCTATTCTACCATCTAATTCATTAGTGTGTTGGATCATTTGTTCTATGATTTGCTCTGACCCCAAGTTAGATTCACACCGTTTCAAAGATATTCTTGACGAGGCAATTGCTGCAGGTACAGTTTAGCTTCAGTTGGATGAGCTTCTTTGAGAAATTGTGTGTTCATGACACTGTTAATCACATTAAAACCATTTCTGATCCCCAACTTAGTCCATATTGATTTAGATTTCATGGATCTGTTTCATGTTACAATCTCTGACAATTTCTAACATGGGCTGGACATTTTCCATGTTCTGATCATTTTTCCTTTTGCGAACTGCTTTGCCACCTGGTTACTGCTTCCCAGTTACATAATTACATCTTTTAGTATTGTTATATGGTGATGTTGGAACAAATATTAACGTCCCTAGATGCAGCTCGATCCACAGTCGCATTCAATGCAACAGCAACCTCCAAATTTGAACCTACAGTAGCTGGAACATTTACAGATGCTTCAACATGTCCTGCCCCTGCTACTGTTTGTTGATTATTACTAGTGTTTGCTTTATTCAAAACCTCCTTTTGTATATTTATTCTAGATCCTGAGGCAGTCATATCACCTTGTCGATTATGCCTAGAATTAGCACCGTTTACAGCCTTATAAAGCCTTGCCAAGGCTGTAGTAGTAGGAACATCATCTGTAGGTTTAGATTGACCCTTCACCATCTTTGAAACATTACCTACTGGATTAACTGGACCTCTATTATTTCCAGTTTGTGCGACGTGTTGCTGCCCAATGTTTCCATCAACAAACAGAAAAGTACAAAAAAGAAACAACTTCTAAATGCTTTCCTGCGAGATATTCTTTATCAATTTACACTTATCTAATAAGGTGGTTTAATTCTTTTTGTTATCACTGCTTCGTGGATTCATACTTGGATGCTTAATTGACTTGAGCACATATTACTATGTTGTAATTTTACACCGATTTTCTACAATCTACATAAATATCTTCATTCCACAGGATGCTTGGAGGACAACACTTCTAAGAGTGAAGGAAACATTGAAGGCTAAGGAGCTCGAGGAAGATGATCTTACTTAATTTGTTCCCCTTTGACCTATTGTAAACTACTAGTACATCCTTTATGTGATTTTATTTGTACTGCTTTCAAATATGATACTTTAGTTCTTTGTATTAACAAGATATCAAGTATTTGATTTATTTTTCAATGTTGTTGAGCGTGTATGAAAGCATATAAATAATTATTACTATTCATGTAATTTAAATTTTCATTATATTTATTATATTTTCATATTAGAGAAGAAAAATGTGGTCACTAAAACTCTTTAAGGACAGGTTTCTCAAATAGATAAATGACTACTAACGAAGAGAATTTCGGTTGTTAAAAGTAACTATACAATTAACGAAGGGAATATCGGTCGCTAAAAGCACTTGAATTGACTTAATACATTGTTGTCGTTAAAGACTTTTAATGACCGGATAATAAATTAGCGAGGGGAAAATCTTGTCGTTAAAAAGCATGTTTAACGATCGAAAATTATGCCGTCGCTAAAGATCCTTTAACGACCGGATTGTAAACCGGTCGTTAACTTTTAACGTCGGGACTTTTAACGACCGGTGATGACCGGATTTTTTCCGGTCGCTAATAACTTATAACGATCGGAATTGGACTTTTAACGACCAGATTTCCCCTCGCTAAAGCCCCATTTTCTTGTAGTGAACTGATTTCGTATAATAAGATGTTTGCCACCTTATTGACTCTAGAAAAGAGCTCAATCAAAACATTAATGCATGAGTTTCGATTACTTGACTTTTACGAGTCAAATAACTTTTTCTCTTCTTTTTCTTTCTTTCTTTCATTCTTTCTTTGCTTTAACTTCCTTTAGGGCATCTTCGGTGAAGATTAATGTACTATTTTTATTTTTATTTTTAATCTTGTGAATTGCGATATAACACTTGATTCTATTATGCTCGTCAAATAAATATTTTAATTCTTTGTGAAATTATGAAATTATTTAAAAATAAAATTTTATAATAATTGATGCAAGATAACATGCAACGAACGAGAAAAGTATTTACTTCAATATGCATGAATCATTAAGACTCATCTAACGTAAATCATAAAATCACAAAAGTTATTAAATACTGTTGCATTCTTTAACTAAATTTACAATTTAATCGTATAACTTTGTACACGTTTTATAATATTTATCAAAATATATTCGTGCAACGCACGAACACACATATATATATATATATATATATATATATATATATATATATATATACGTGAGCTAAAGTGTTTATATTGCCTTTGATACGTGAGAACCATGTCTCTTACAAATAATTAGAACCCTCTTTATATAGTAGAGGAATCCTATCTATGGTACATGTCGCGCCCCTTTTTCTCACGAAATCGGATTTACGACATTTGGGAGGACAATTCGTTCCCTTTTGGGGATTGGGTTTAAGAGAATTGAAGAGTCGCCACCTCATGATTTGAGTGCATTAGTATACTAAGAAGGGTTTGTTTGGATAACCTGAGATTGGGTAAGGGCTTGAAATTATTCCGAGAGGAAGGTGTTAGGTACCCTTCAGAATCCACTAGTGTGGTTCCCGGCCAAGCTATGGTTGTGGACTTAAGGTACAGATGACATGTAAGCAAGTAAGACTTTCAAATAAGACGGGATTTCACATAATGGTTACAAATTTGATGAAGTTTAAAGAAACGGAAGGAAAGCTGAATTTTGAGGAAGAAAAACAGTTTGGAAAATTTGAAAATAAATAATGAAATAAACAAGTAAAAGAGAGGGGGGAGGGGGGGGGGGTCCTAGGTTTATAAATAATATGGACCACCCCATACAATGCCCGGTAACCATTTATACACGTGGTGTTATCGCGTGGTCATCATATTCATATCTACCCTTTCCCACCCCGTTAAGGTATTAAACGCGGAATGGTCTCGTTTTACTTATTGCATGCTATTACCCACCCCAATCCTATCAGTCCCGGAGGTATTTGAGACTACTAATCCTAAAAAGGAAGGGGTATGAGGTTTTATAGTTATAAAAGGACAAAATTCTAAGGCGACAATCAAAACACATATGTCACAAGTTTGGAAAAAAGCACTCAAACAAATAAGGCTCAGACAGTCCTCCTTAGATCAAAAAAAGCATATAGTTTAGCATGTCTTGCACGTACTGATTAGGGTCTGATTAAACTTAAAAGTTAGAGCAGGCTGATTGATCATAATTTTCAGATAAGAAGTCTGAGTTAGACCTGCCCGCTGGTTGTAATTAATAAAGACTGTTGCAGTTTATAACTTTTACCCTAAGGCTTGCCTAAGTGATAGACGAAAACCTATAGGCATGATATCTATTGATTTCAGAAACAAAGAGGTAAGCTGATTGCAGATTGATTTAGGAAAAGGTTGCCAGTTTTAACAGAAGGAGTACAAGTTTCGCAATTGATAATGCATTACTACTGACAGTTTAAACTTACAAACGAGTGAGGCGATTCAGATTTGATTAGAACCCCTATAGGCATGCTTTCTACATGTTTGTTGACTTTAAACACTGTTATAGACATAGAGAAGTGCAAAAATCCTACAACATGCTATCTAGGTGTTGCATTTTTATTACGAGCATGATATCTGATTACATTGGTTATTAGGGCCTATGAACACGTTTGCCTAATGAGAGATGAGTATGCAAGAATCAGAAAGGACCTATAAGCATATTATCTACATACATGTGCATCCTATAGACATGGTATCTATGTGAGTGCAGAAATTCCTATTGACAAGTTATCTACATGATATGCAGAAATTCATAAGTAAACTATAGGCAGGATATCTATGTGAATGCAGAAATCAGAAATTCTATAGGCGGGATATCTATGTGAATGCAGAAATCAGAAATTCCTATAGGCAAGTTATCTACCCTTTGCATACAGTTATTCCCTCCCTTTTTCATTAGTCATCCCCAATATTTATTACAAGTTATTACAACCCAGAATAAATGTAAGAAAGGAAAAATACATTAGAAATTAAAAGTAAAACCAAAGGGAGCCTAATTTAGGCTGCTTGTCTGAAACATGAGATGAACCAACTCCAAGAGATCATGATCCAAAGCCTTTCTCTCATTTGAATGTGTCAGAGTTCCCTAAGAGCCTCATGTGGACTCCGGGCAGTGCTCACACCCAAATACATTACAGGATTAAGATATAGTGCAGTGTGGAGGGGCCAGCCCTCAAGTGTCCGAGTTCAGAGGGAACTCAAGGTCCCAAGGCAAGGCTCACGAGGGGGGGGCAGAACCTTAAAGACTNGGGGGGGGGGGGGGGGCAGAAATTAGAGACTAGGAGAGTGTGCAAGTGCAGAGATGAAATTCTGAAAGGGGAAAGGGAAAAGGGAATAACTTAAAATCAGAACACATAAGGGTATAGGGGAGTGAGGAATTTACAAGAACACAAGGAGAACAGGCTGATGGGCATACCCAGCAATGGAAGATGCTGGCACACTCTGAACAACTAATTTTTGACCCCACCCAAATTTTTTACTATTTTAGTGTAAATATTTCTTTTAGGTTTAATCTTAATATTTATCTTATTCTTAATAGGTTTTATTAAAAAAAAAAAATTACAAAAATACTCTCATTCTTAGAGCGCAAAGAATCCTTCTTAGTATCATTTACAGTACATGTAGATATTTAGTTTTCATATATTGTAAGAAATAATGGTTATTCTTCTTATCTTCATAATTTAATTATCTTTTGAAATAAAAGCCAAAAAACAAAAAAAATTCAGAATAAGCTAAAATCACGTTAAAGTGATTAAGCTTGTTATCAAATTTTTATTTAAAAAGAATGAGCTAAGATCACGTTAAAGTGATTAATTTTGTTATCAAATTTTTATTGAAAAATCTGATTTTATATTAAAAAAAAAAAGGCCCATAACCCCATTTTTCCCAAAATACTCCTCACGTCCTTTCCCACTCCCCCATTTTCACTCACGTTCTTACATGCACACACACATGATCTTGGACACACACACACACACGACATTATACACACACATTTCTATATATATGAAGAGATTTCACAAAAGAAAAGGAGGAGATTTTAAAAGAAAACGTTTAGTTTTTGGAGGAAAAGTTTATGGAAAGAAATTTCTTTCCGTGATAGTTTGAGAGTCCTCATAAGTCTTCATAATTAATTTAGAAAATCAAGACAGAGTTTGATGACGGAGCTTAACTGAAATTCAAGGTCGAAATTCGAGATTCAATTCGTGGTTCTAGTGGTGGTTAGCCTTTGTCTGAAAGAGTTTGATCACCAGAGTTTCATTTTATACATTGCTCATCCAAGCAAAGAGTTATATTCACTGATTTCCTATTAATATTGGAAAGCTTCTTAAGGTTCATTACTTCTTTTTCTTTCCGTAACTTTAAGTAATTTAACATCTGTTTATTTTTGTGATGTGGTTGAAGTAGAGATTCATACAATAGTTTGTTATAATTTTATTTTTTGTTAGTCGGTTCCGTGCTTTTAGTCTAATGCATGAAATTACCTATTTTGGGTGAATTCAAGACCAACTGTCAAACATTCTAAATGGATATAATTTTATACTTTTACTATTTGAGTTCTACTTAGAAAATGCATCAATTTAAGAAATAACGAAGGGAATAACTTCGACATCGGAAAAGGTTTGGGCCTAAATCTACTGGAAATTAAAAAACAGATATGTAATTATTTTATGTGATTTGATCGGTTAAATTTTTAATTGGTTCTCCTTCAAAATTTTGATCTCTTTTATCCATATTAATTGTCCAGTGTTAGGATTTTCTTTAAAGATTATCTAGTTAAAATAAAAGTCTATTAATCTATGTGAAATGCATCTACTTTTATTTGAAGCAAAAATATTCCTAAACCATAATCTATTCACTGTTATAGTCAAACTAGTTTAGAGGTAAAATTAATTTACTTGTTAAAACGTTAAATTTGAAAGAGAATCACAATACACTCCTTTCGTTCTATTTTCATCAACATAGGCAAAGATATCATGTACACATGTTCCCATTAGTCTTTTAAAACCATCAACTTTGCATAAAAAAAAGAAGAGATTCTTCAATGTAGATATTCACGTAAAACTTAGCATAGTAATTTTTGTGCAAATTGCAAGCTTTAGTCAAAGATGAAGTAATAACTAGTATATAGTTGCGGTGATTCCTTCAGGAATGATAAATTGAATATTC